TAATTTTTTCAGTGCATGTGTTTTGTACATTGTGAGTGTTTGGAATGGCTATGTCTATAATGTATGTGATTTTATTGTGTTTGTCAATGAGTGTGATGTCTGGTCTGTTGTGGTAAATTGTTTTATCTGTGATTATGGCTCTGTCGTAGTACATTTTGTGCGTGTTGTTTTCCAATACTGTCTATTATTATTATTATTATTATTATGTTGGGTTTAGTGGGTTATACTTGGTTGAAACTGATTTCTGTGTACTATGCTGTACACAGAACACCCAAAACAAGACTAAAATTAAATAAGTGTGTCAGTGTGTGTCTGTATTCAGGAATTTCCTAACAATATGACATGTATTCAATATAATGGTCTTCTGTAAGATAATGTATGTGTTTCTACTCAACTGTAATGTTCCTAACCTTTTGTGTAGTGTGTGGGGTATGATACCTGTAGAGAAGAGTTGTACAACAAGTACAATAAGCACCCTATCCATCCTCCACAGATGCCTTATTTCCTGGGTAAGTTCTGTGTACTTGCTAATTTTTTCAGTGCATGTGTTTTGTACATTGTAAATAAAGCAATAAAGACTGTACAAAACTTTTGTACAGCAATAAAGGCTGACATTCTGGAGTATTAAATGAAATTATAGAAATCAAAATAAAAGTAAACTTTCAAATAACAATTAATTTTGAAATGCTAAATATAAAAATATATTACCAAATGTTTAATAAATAAAGTAAAAACAATAAATTTGAATCTTAAAAATATATTTATTGTTTATTACTTAGGTATTCCATCAACATCCTCTAATCGACGTTGTCGTTCCAGCATATCTTCTGTGGGACCACCACCACCATCTCCATGACCAAATAACATCATACTGCATGTTACACGACCTTTATCTTTCAAATTTTTGACTGTATCTATTACCTAAAAAATTTATAAATAAAATTAACCTTACAATTCTCAGAATCAAATATTTTTGCTATATTCACAAATAAAATATATTTAAATTAAAACAGAATTAATAAAATTAATATATCATTACACCTGAATAATGAATATTAATTTTAATATTTCATATGAATAGTAAAATTGACAATTCTTAAGAATAGTATTAAAAATATTAAACAGTTTTAACACCATTCATATTTATGGCATGCTAGCAAAATTAGATCACACACAGACTGCAATTACTGCATTGATTATTACTTCAAATAAAAAATTTTGCTCAAATTACATTCAATTTAAAATGCTTGATTTAAAATGCAACTCATGCATAATTTGAGAATCCCTGTATGTATATGTCTATGTATGTACAGATATCCCTTGCACAAGGCAGTACTTCTACAAGACGATTTTGCTCTAACACAGTTTTGGAAATCCTCCATACAAAATTTCACAATTTTTAAGTGTAAACTTCATTATTTGATATTTATTTATTTATTTAAGTAAGCACGCATGTTATCTCAAATTTGCCCACAGATTTTAGAATATTGAAAATTTTCAATTTGTTTTGTGCTTTTTGTCAGTTTTACTTTAATTGAAACTGATAGTACAATTTTTTCTTCCATGGTAACTTTCCTATCAACCAGGTGTCATTGTCATTGCTTTCAGACTTTATCACTTAAGACTGTCACTGTGTTTTCTTTTTATACATTAATCTTTGTATTTAGTAAAGTTATTTAAACAATTTTAAGTCAGTGTTATTAAATTTTTTTTAAGCATAGGGAAGTAATCATTTGCAAAAATGACAAACAAAATATGGCAGTATCTCCATACTCAAACTGTTCCCAACTGGAATAACTTGGTATTGAGCACAAATTCTGAAGAAAGAAAAATTGCTTAATACTTGACTAAACAAATATCACCTGCTAAAACAAATTGTTGATTAATAACATATTTTTATTTTTTCCATCATTAGGAAAATTATGATAAAAATAAAACAATGAAGATATTGCTGATATTTCTGATCAGGATCAACAAAAATGCTCAAATGATGATGATGCTACAGTACTTTGAAAAAGCAAATGCCCTTGTTTAACTAAAATTAATATTAACAGTGCTTTTAATTGTGCTTGTTAGTTAATTGAGCTGTTGATTTTGAAAGTAGGAGAAGTCCATTTTGTGAAAAAAATAATTAAAGCTAATTCTTATTACAAATTAACATAAAATTTATGTTTTTAATGAATTCACAATAAATATCTTTGAATACAGGTATACCTCGACTTACGTCGTTTCGAGTTACGTCGTTCCCGATTATACGTCGTTTGTCAAAAAAATATACGAAAAAATAAAAATCAAGTTTAAGTCATTTTATTCGACTTTACGTCCGTCCGCCACAAATATTGAAGTCGTAATATCACTAGAAAAGCGTTTAAAGCACATAAAATCATATTAAAATATACACATTTATAAGTATGTACTGTATTTACAGTACAGTACATGCATTCATAAATTTAGATTACTTTTTTCTGTACTCTATTAAAAACTAAAATTTATTTGTTTGTAAGCTTAAAATAGATTCTTATTAACCATATATTATTAAAAATGCATTAATAAATAAAATAAAGAACTGGGAATAGTAATTTATAGTTTAGCCTAGTGACAAGTAGATTCGGAGACAAGTAGATTCGGAGACAAGTAAATTCGACTTACGTCGTTTTCCTGGAACCAATTACCGACGTAAGGCGAGGTATACCTGTATAAGTATAAATTTGTTACTAGTAATTTGTATCGTCAACAATATTTACAGTGAGTTGATTTTAAAAGTGATACAAGTCCACTCTAAAGAAAAATATGAAGATATGATTTATCACTTTATATACCCATTCATCATGAATACTTTAAAAATCTGCACCATCTAAACTAAGAAATATAATTATGTGCATGCAACTTATTACTGAATATATTTTCTTATGTTATCCACTTTTTCCTATAAAATTAAATTAATTTTGTGTTTCATAGTAGCTTTTCAAAAAAGTATATGTTGAAATAAATAAGTAAGTAAATAAAATATTCAATTTTTTGTTATTATAACTATATTCCATTCAAAGAAAAGCAATGTTTTCAACAAATCATTGCTTTTGAAAATGAGGCAAGTCCATTGATGCATAACAAAACCATGATTTTTTTTTCATCTAACATGGATAACCATTATTGCATATTAAATTTACATCAAATACAACCAAAAAAATATAAAATAAATCTATTACTGCTTAAGAATATTTTTAAACTCATTCAAATGCAAACCATTAAATATCCAGCAAACAATATAAAATGGACTTGCCCCATTTTCAAAATCAACAACTCAATTATTGATAGGAAATAAATTATCGATTCCTTTAATAAACAAAAAAGAATAGTATACTTTTGTTAACTTCTGGAACATAACCTTATGTTTTACATTAGTCCTTTGTTTCATGTAGTACAGATTCACATAATACATCATTTTTTTGGAACATATCTAACGTTTTATAAGAGAGATACCTGTATATATACACAAAAGTATAAAATTTTAATGAAAAAAATATATATGTGTAGGGCAGCGTTTGTGGTCGGCACTTTTGGGCGTATTTTAAATAATTGTTTACTCTTTTGCAGATGCTTACCACCAGGAGGTGTAAATTAACTATTTAAGTGTACGATTTAATGTTTGAGAGTTGGCAGCGTTTATGGTCGGCGCTTTTGGGCATATTATAAATAATTGTTTACTCTTCTGCAGGTAAGCTCACTGGTTTGTTTCGTCATGTCTAAAAGGAAGACTTATTCACCTGTAAGTCAGTCGAATAGTAGATCAAATATTTTTCATTCTGACCCATTGGAGGAGACGAGTATCTTGGAGTTACTTCAAGGAGAATTTGATATTAAGGATGGGATATCGTTACTTATTCAGCTAAATTTAAAGCAGAATAAGAAATTGGAAGGAATGATTGCTAGGATTGATAGAATCTACTCCTGGGTAGAAAATTTGGACGAAGCTATTGTTAATATAGAAACTAGATTAGAAGATTTAGAGAAAAAATTTACATACGATACCGGTAAGATTCTATCGGACGATAGAATAGATTTGGAAAACAAAATGGCCGAGTTTACATTAAGTCAGGAGCGGTTTGAGTGTTTTTTAAGGCGTAATAATTTAATAATTTTTGGTTTGCCTGAGTCGGAAGATGATAACTTACAAGTTAAAGATGTAGTATTGGAATTTTTTCAAAATAAATTAAGTGTTGATAATGTTCGTTTAGAGCAGTGCTATAGATTGGGTCAACAACGGAAAGATAGTATTAGGTTGATTTACTGTAGTTTTTTTGACTATGGTGATAAATGTAAGATTAAAAGAGCGGCATTTAAATTAAAAGGAACGAGGATATTTATAATGGATGACCTTCCTCCTTTAACTAGAGACATAAGGAAAATAATGAATGATTTCGCAAGAGAAAAAAAGAGATTGGGTGCTTCAATTACTTATTTAAATAATAGAAATGCGGTTAAAGTTGATAATAAAATTTATAAATATAATATAGTTTCTAAGAAAATGGAAGAACAAATGTCAACTTGACTGGGAATAGGTACGTCGGTACTTTCATGGAATTGTGAAGGTATTGTAAATAAGCCTATCTCTTTTTGGAATTTTTTGTATACTTTTGATATAATTTTTTTAATGGAAACGTGGTGGGATGGCAGGTCTGCTATTCCCAATTTGCAAAATATGGATAAATTTTCTGTTTTTTCGGAGGCAGGTTATCGAGAGGCTGATAGAGGTCGCTGTATTGGTGGCTGGTTGTTGTTATTGTCTAACTCTTGGAAAGTAAATATCTTGGAAAAAGATAGGCATTGGATTGTTGTGGAATTGTCTATAGGGCCTATAGTAATTTCTTTCTGTTTTATGTATATAAGACCTGTATTATGGAATTCTATTTGGACAGAGGTAGCTAGGTTGGTTAATTGTTATAAGATAGACTTTTTAATTGGTGATTTTAATGCTCGCATTGGAGTAGAACTGCAGGAATGGATTTATGAAAGTAATGAGAATATTGATCAGGATTGGATGTTGAGGTCATCAAAAGATACAGTATTAAATAATCGTGGAAAATTGGTGTTAGATTTTTGTGAAGAGGCGGGATATATTGTTTTAAATGGTAGAGGTTCATCTATATCTAAAGGTTATTATACATATGTGAGTGATATAGGCTCCTCTGTAATTGATTTGGCTTTGGTTAAGTTAAATAGATTATCTATTGTAACAAGTTTTTCTGTATTAGATAAAGTGTATAGTAATCATTTTCCGATAAGTGTAGTCTTAGATTGTAAATCTAAGAAGGAAATTCGAAAATCATTTAAGAAGTATAAGAGTAAGAGTGAGAGAATTTTTTGGAGGGAAGAAGGTAGTGAGAAGATAAATTATAAGTATAGGGAACTATTAGGTGCGATTCAGAGTCAGTCAGTATTAACGTTGGAAGGTTTAACTCATTTAATTAAATCTTCGTTTTCAGATTGGTGTCAAAGGCCAATTGGATTTTCCAATTTTGTGTGGTTTGATATGGATTGTAAGTTGAGTATTGCAAGAAGAAATCAGGCGTTGAATAGGATGAGACGGTCAAAGTGTGGAAATAGTGTTGCAGTTAAGAATTTTGTTAAAGAACGTAATGTGACTCGCAATTTATGTAGAGCTAAGAAAAAGCTTTTTTTGCAGAAGATCAATAAGAATTTGGCGTCTGGTGATAGTAAGCAGTTCTGGCGATTTATTAATTTCGTTGTTAAGAGTAAATACAGGGAGCTTCCAGATCTTGATTAGGTAGCTTTTTTTTCAAAGAAATTTCATTCTAGTAAATATTTACCTGATATGTCTATATATAATTGGTGTATGAATTGGCAGGACAAGCTGTTGGATACGGAGATAACAGAACAGGAAGTCAAAAAGATTCTAACTTCTATGAAAAATGGTATTGCTCCAGGTATTGATGGGATACTGGTGGAACTATATAAGAATTTCCCAGATCTGATTGGATATATGGTAGGTCTGTTTAATAATGTTTATCAATCAGGGATGATTCCTTTAGAATGGTGCATATGTAAGATTATTCCTATATTTAAAAAGGGTCTTAGAGATTTACCTGATAATTATAGAGCAATTTCGTTACTACCGACAATATCTAAAGTTTTCTGTAAAATTTTATGTATGCGTTTGATATCTTGGCTGAATAAGTTTGAGATATTTTCTGATTTCCAGGCTGGTTTCCGGGCTGGTTTTTCGACATTGGATAATATTTTTGTTTTACATGCTTTAATACAGAAGTCTTTAAGGAAGAAACGAGGTAAATTTTACGCTTTCTTCGTTGATTTGACGGCGGCATTTGATTCGTTGGATAGAGATCTTTTATGGAGTCAACTTCTGAAGATTGGGTTGAGCTATAAATTTGTAAACTTTTTGATTCAGTTGTATACTAATACAGAGGCGTGCGTGTCTACTAAGGAAGGTACGACTGATCT